CCAGGCAGAGGCTGCTGCCCCAGCCTGCAATGATCTAAGCTCCTGTCGCATGACTGGGTCCATCTACCCTCAGGTCTCAGTTCAATGTCACCTCTCAAAAAGCTCTGCTGCCCACCCCCGGCCCTGGCCTAAGACAGTGCCCGCCTGCTCTCTCCCACCTCCTGGCTGGGGRTCAGCGGCAGATTGTCTCAAGCAGCCTCTGGGGCTGAAGCTGCCCTGTTGCTCCGCTGAGCTTAGTGTGCTTGTCTCCGCCGAGGGGACTCGAGCACGGGTCTCAAGCACGTGCTGGAGGTGAAACCCAGCCCTCCCCTCCCAGCTGGGTGGCTGAGGCTCTCCATCGGGGCCTGAGGCGCTCAGCACAGGGAACACGTTCTGCACTCATGAACGTGGAGCTATTCTTCTGGAATTTCTGTTCCTGATAACAAGGGTGCTGCCAGGTACATCTCCACYGTATCCTCAGCACCTGAGACCAGTCACAAAGTGGGCGTTGGTGAAGGGAAGGAAGGATGACAACAGGAAGATGCCCGCCCTCGGGGAGAGGGCAGGATGAACCAAGAGGCCAGCCCAGGCCTGRGGCAGGAGGCCTGCAAATCCCTTCCTGACCAGTCAGCCCCTTCAGAAGGCTCCTCCTGGGCCCCCACATCCCCAGGGTCCTGAGGGTATAGTTTCTTTGCCCCCCACACCTTGAGCCACTGTCAGATCAGCCTGCTCTGCTCTGCCAGCTTCCCCAGACTGCAGGAAGAAACAGATCAAGTGCTTCCCAAGYTACTGAGCGGCACAGCAAGAAGGCCTTCCCAGCACCAGGAAGACCATGCCTCCTAGGCCAGACTGGGCCCAGGGCTTCCCTCACTCTCCTGGAGTCTTCCTGTCTCCTGTATTGCAGGGTTTTAAAAAGCTGCAGTAACCATATTCCAGCAATCCTACTTCTAGTTACCAAGGACGGAAAGCAGAGTCTAGAATAGGTCATTGCACACCTGGGTCCACACCCAGAGCCAGAGGTGGAAGCCACCCACTCGTCTAGAAATGGAYGACTGGATAAGCAATGAGCGAGGACGCAGGGCCTCATCAAGGAAGGACRTTCTGACACTTTACCACAGGGGTGACCTCGAGGACACGGGGCCGAGTGAAACGAGCCAGTCTCCAAAGATGAGCACAGCACGGTGCCATCTGCAGGAGCTGCTTCGAAGTGGCTGCCAGGGGCTGGGCAGGGAACAGGTGTCCTTGATGGATGGGTGCAGAGTTTCAGCTCCACATGGTGAAAAGCCCCCGAGATGAATAGTGGTGATGGCCTTCCCCGTGAGACACTGCAGGCCACTGCCCTGTATGCTTAAGAATGGTTAAGAGGACACATTTCCATGTAATCTGCCACAATAAAACAACCGGGGAAACCCACAGTAGTGGGTAGGGAGGAGTGTTGTGTTCCCAATGGCACTCATGTGGAAGTCACACCACCGTCCCCCGGACTGCCACTTCAGCAAGACTAGAGTGGCTTCCCACTTCCCAGATTGGGAAACTGAGGCTGGAGGGAAGTGAAGCAACATGTCTGGGTCCTAGAGGGCTTGCTTCTCCTAGCCCTGGGTTGCCGCCTGGACCCTCAGGAGGATAGACAACCACAGCACCAGGAAGACACACCCAGCTGCAAGGCACACTCTGTGACAGAGGACATAGGGTGGCTCCTATCAGACAGAGGCTGGGGAGGCCCAGCCTGGCCCTGGATGATCAGATGGCCCCTGGGGCTGCCCATCTAAGCTCTGCACAGTCCACAGACCTTGTAGATCATCTAGGGCTTCGGGAGCTGGCTGCTGCAATTTCTACAGCTCTAACTGCCCTGGGTCATGGGTGCAAAAAAAGAAGAGAGATTAGAAGCAGGATCAGATGTCACAACTCCTAGCGGCCCTAGAGCAGCCCTGGGTCAATGACTTCCCCTTGCCCGCTCCTCAGTTTCGCCTACTGGACTCTGAATATCTGGATGAGATAAACCTAGAATCCCTCAGGCCGATCCCGTCTCCTTCCAATCCCCCTGAGCACCTGCACATGTCCCAAGTCCGGAGAGATATCGATGGGCAGGATCAAGCTCTGGATGGCGGGGGAAGCCAGGCCTCAGCACAGGAAGGCACAAGAGAACATGAGCTCGCTTCCCAGCAGGCGAATCTGGAGATGGTTTCCAGTCCTAGCACGCTGGCCTCAACAAAGCTCTCCCCTGAACAAAGACGAGATGGCACCTCTCGTGCCACTGTTGAGGCAGAGATACCGGCTGGGAGCCCTGGGTACAATGCCGGGCACAGGAAGCAGTCGCTAACCTCATGGGCATCTGTGCAGGCTGCCAGGGGCGTCTGGGGCTGGGAGAGGGAGGCCCAGGGTCTGGCACAACCTGCCCCAGTCACTGATGAGTGGCCTGGGCAGCTCACTTCCCTACTCTGACTCTTCTGTTCTCAAGTACAAGTGGAACTGGAGGCCGCCATGAGACCTGCCCTCCTTGAGCAAGATCTGAGTCTCATGCTCCACAAAGGGCCACAAAGTGACATTCCAGGTCACGGCAGGGAGCTGGAGCAGATGGCCCGGGGCTCAGAGAGTAAAGCAGCCAGAGCCAGCGGAAGGGAGGGAGAATGCTGTCCAGTCTGGACCCTGTCCCCAGACCCAGATCCTTCTTAGACCCCAGGAGCCCCTCCCTGAGCCAGCTCCCGCCCCTGCAGGGGGTGGGCTGGGCCTTCCAATTGGATGGCCTGCAGACTCAGCTGAGATCTCCGCTGTGTGTACAGGGCGGGTGGGTTCCCATGTCACCTTGGAGAGGGTGTCCTTGCCTGTGAGCTGTGGGTGTGCCCCTGAATTCCAGTGGGGTCTGAGACAGCCCTGGAGGAAGGACCAACAAGCCAGGGGAGAGGGAGCGCTCCACACTCCAGCTCTCCAGGTCACGGCCTGGGTAACCTGGAGGTTCCCCAGCTGTAAGAGATGACACCAGAAGCTCCCTACCCAGAGTCTTGCAAAGATCAAATGAGTGCATTTCATTAAAGAAATCAAATACAACAAGTTGTAACAGCCCTGGGCACATAGTCGGTGCTCAGAAGCACTGGCTATCATGGTGTGTGATGATGATGATGATAATCCACAGGTGGAAGATAACCAGGTGCAGAAAAGCCCAGAAGYTTGCTGACTGAGAGGAGGGACCTTAGCCAGGCTCTCAGTGTGAGCGGCTCATTTCCTGGTTCCCAGTGTGCAGAGAAACCAGCCCTGGCCTGCATTCACCAGCTGCAGAGCCGGGACAGGCTGGGACAGCCAAGGCACAGCCTGGCTCCATGAGACAGGGGGAGGAGGGGTTCTGGGCAGCCTCCTCCCAGGCACCCCTGACAGTGAGGAGGGGCCCAGGCTGAAGCACTCACTGGAACAGATGACAGCCTCCAGTGGCGGCCCACCATGTCACTCCTCAAGGGACACAAGTGCCTGAGTCCTGAACAGCAGGAGACTGGCCCCTGACTTAGGCCCCCACTCTTTTACGGGGACTGCAAAAGCACATTTTTATGGGAAAAGCCCACGGGGTGCTGGGCCAGCTATGGACCGCAGGCTGGGCTGCCTGACCCCTTTGAGCTTCAGCTTCCTCTGCTCTAACCATGGACACAGGCGTCCCACTTTACTGGGCGCCAGGGATCAGTGGGGTGTCCCTTGCTGTGCTGAGGGGCCCCACATCTTCTAGAGGTCCAGGGCCCGGGGCAGAGTGGGGCTTGGCACATGTTCTGGATGTTGGGGCTGCACAGCCATGAGGGTGTCCTTGGAAGAAAAGAAATGACCACACAGAGGGCAAGGTGTCCGACCCGTGCCAGCGGCTCGAGAGCCTGAGGTCGGGGTGGTCAGCCCAGGCTGACCCTCAAAGGCCTTGCACTGTGAGCAGCTCTTCAGGGCCCCAGTGACCTGCGCTAACCACTGCCCCCAGCACCCGCCCTGCATTTCCGCTCCTTCCAGAGATAATGCGGGTTCCCTGGCTGTGGGTGGATGGGGAGGGCGAGCCGTCACTGAGACAGGAGGCTCAGAGCCAGGAGCCCTGTGAGAGGAGGTGGGGTCGAGATGGGCACAACACAGCCGGCTCTAGTCCGGGGTCGGCACCCCAGGGAAGGCCAGGTCGATGGCCCTTAGTGAGGCAGGACAGAAGGAGTGAGAAATGGGTAGGAAGGAGGCAGAGAGAAAGGACAGGAACCAAGATTTTCACCCAGAAGTCTGCGCACTTCTCCAGACCTGTCACCTCTCCAGRCCTGTCACCTCTCCAGGCCTCTCACTCCCAAATTCCTGGAAAAGCGATAAACTTGCCTGTGCACTGTTAATTAACCCCCAATCAATCAATTAAGCAAAGAGAAACTCGGTATCTTGAGGAACCTGTAGCTTCAGGAACTTTCCACACTRTCTACTGATCAGATAATGAAGACCACGTCGGCCGGAGGGCCCGGGACTCCCCAGACACCAGAACCCACCTGGGGTCACTCCTTACCTTCCCAAGCCACCCAAGTGTCCCTTGAAAGAAGACCAGGGAACCCCAAACCGCACCTCTCACTCTCAAGACGGCCACCTCCTCCCTGGAGTGTGCGCCTGCTTTGCTAGATGTGCCCCGTCCACGCCTCCCACTGGCCCAGCTGCAATTCTTTCCTGTCACGGACGCCAAGACCCCGCTTGTCCTGAGGCAAGCCCCCCCCCCCGCCCCGGGAACGTCTCGGACTCTTCTCCAGAGGCACCTCTTCTCTCGTGACACCAGAGTCAAGGTCACAGGGTCCCTCATCTCCCTGCGTTTGCCCATGGCTGTGCGCCTGACCTGTCCTGGGGGAACTGACTGCTCCTGTTTCTTCGAGCAGCACTCAGGCCAGCTTCTGCCCTGGAGAAGCAGTGGAGTGTGGGAYCGGCTGACAGCCTCCCCCTCTTCCCCGGCCCCCAGTGTTTGAACAGAGATCCACTTCAGACCAGCGGAGAGAGAGGAGAGGRGAGGGGGCAGGGGACAGGGAGGAGCCCCACCCTGTACTTGCCTGAACGTCAAACTCCTGCAGGAGGCCAGTGATGGTCTGTGGAGACAAGACACATGAGAGGTGGTCAGTTTCCTAGGGTCCTTTGTTACAGAAATAATGTTGGAACACACATGTCCTGCTATCCACCCTCCGTCCTCTGTAAGGCCCCCTCGCTCTTACAAAGAGAGATATTCCTTTTCATCTCAAAGAATAGCAGACCAACAGAAAAGCAGAGGCACTGGTTGGGTTCCTTTTTGACGGCAGCCTTGGTGAAAAAAGATCTGAAGGTCTAAGCTGACCACAGGATTCAGTGGTTACGGAACGGAAAGTGGTGATTAACTGGTCCCCTTATCTCCATGCACCGGCTTCACTTTTAAAACTCAAACCTGCCTCTTTTTTCCACGGCTGCCACTGTCTGGCCTCTGGATTAAAGTGCAGTCCTTCATAAATGGAAAGGAGATTGAAAACCTCGAAGCATTTCCCTTGATCTAAAAATTGTAAATTTCAGCCTAAATTCCATCTTTCACCAGAGCTTTCAGAGGCAAGAAAGGTCCAGGAAGATAGGGAAAGGCTCCCTGTGGCCGGTAGAGCCGTTGAAAGTGGAGGAGGAACGGGGTCTCGCTGGGCTGGGTTTCCTAGAAATGTGGCCAGATGCTTTTCTCCAGACCCAGGGAGGGAATCCAGATGTTCTCCCAAAACCCAAGCCCCAGCCCAACCCACCACCAGCCTCCAGGAAAGTAGGGCTCAGCGGAGACAAGACACAGGAGGCCAGGGAAGCAGAATGGGCCCCCTCAACTGGGACTCAAACCTGCGTAGTAACAGATGGCCAGTTGCTGGGGGTTCAAGAAGTTTCCTGTCTCCTGGGCTATGGATAGGAACATGCCAGAGAAGCAAACCCAGGTGGAAGCACAGGATTCCTCATGCCGTGTGTGTGTGTGTGTGTGTGTGTGTGTGTGTGTGTGTGTGCGCGCACATCTTTTTACCCCTCTGACTTTCAAAATGTCAACAGGAGCACAGTGATAGCCCAGAGTGAGGAGAGACATCAAGAAGAACTTCCCACCAGCAAATCAAACTTAAAATATTTTGCTGAGTCAATGTAGGGAACCGGAAGGAATCCCTTTCCATTTGCACCCTGAAGGACAAGGTAAATGCCCACTTRAGATGGAGGAAGGAGCACATGACCTAGAGTCCACAAGCTCTTTGATGCCTGCTTCAAGAACAAGATGTTCTGAGGACACCGACAGGCGGCCTGAACGGATGTTCTAAAGTGTGCACACCCTGGGGACCAGCAGAGCCACTACTGAGAGTTCTTCCTCCAGCGGCGCCTGCACACATAGGAAGTGGTGTGCACACCAGGTACAGCAAGGGCACCCATGTCCGATTCACTGTCTGTAATGGCAAAGGGTTGAAAWGACGGACATGTCCACACAGCAGGCACCGCCAGAGGAACCCAGAGGAATCCTGTGCAGGGCAAAGAGAAGCACAGGTTCTCTGTGGACTGGCATTGAGAGGGTCCCTACGACATGCATTTGAGTGAGTCCAGCAGGGCGCAGCACACCATTCCCTGTGGTTACACAGAACACACTTCCTGTGGTTCATAGGGGACGTGCTGATGTGTATTTGTACTTCGAGGAGGGTTTTGTCGGACTGTCAAAGACTGTCCTGGACCTAGAGTGAAGATTTAGAAATGGCTGAGAGCATGCGCAGTGTCCAGTAGGGGTGGGCACAGTGCAGACCGCCATCTGTTTTATAAATAAAGCTTTATTGGGACACAGCAAGCCCATTTACATACACACTCTCCATGGCTGCTGTCGGGCTATAACAGCAAAGGTATCCAAAGGGGTTGGTTCCAGGAACCCGATGGAGACCCAGATCTGCAGATGCTCAAGTCCCTGATATAAAATCATATATTTGCATATAACCTAGGAGCATCCTCTTGTATACGTAAATCATCTCTGAATGACTGGTAAAGCCTATTATAATGTAAATGCAATGTAAATGGTTGTTAGGCTCCAATTCTTTAGGGAATAATAAAAAGTCTGGGCATGTTCCAACTTTGTCTTTAAAATATTTCTTAAAAATATTTTTGATGGGTGGCTGGCTAAATCTTCAGATGGAAGCCCTGGATACTGAGTCCTGGCTGAAGTGGCGACACAGCCACAGGGCCACGGAGCCAGTGGTGGACACCGGCTGGCCCTCTACAGAGGGTCCGCAGAGCCCGGGAGCAGTCAGCAGGGGCTCCGCAGCCTCCCCAGGCCTGGCTCCTATTTCTACTTGTATCCATATCTGAACGGGCTCTGGCAGACCAGAGGTCTGGGCCCTCCCCAGACCAGTTCCTTCATCTGCAAAATGGGGATGAGGACCGTTGCCCCACGGGTTGGTGATGAAAAGATCCTGAAGTGAGGAGGCAAAAGCCAGCAGCCACGTGTCCAGCCCTGCAGGAACTCCAGGCCTGTCACCAAAGGCAGCAGCCTGGGTTTGATTCCATGGCCCACATTTGTAACTACACATTTTGCAAGACCCTGCCTCCTCTGCTATGGAGGACACCACGGACCAGCCGCAGTCAAATGGGGCGCATCATGGCCTACGCATGTTAATGATCATCTGTGAAAGCATTTGGTTGGCCTTAGAGTAACCGYATTCTTAAGCCTAAGTTGCCACACTTTAAAAACGAGGCCTCATAACGAGCAGTTGTGAGTGTCTGAGAATCGGGATGTGAACAGGCTTTCAAACTTTCCACGGAAAGGTTGCTCCATCTCAGAACAATCAGCCCAGGACAGACCAGGCAGCTGGCCTGGGGCAGGAGACTCTGCTCTCAGCAGGAGGCCTCTGTCCCAGGGGTTTGGCAAAACCCCAGTAACAGCAAGCCCAAGGGCTGACAGCTCGGACTTTGCAATTTTGTGGACACAAAGTTGCAAGATGCCATGGCAGGACTGAAACCCAGGCCTGTGGCCCCAGAGTGTGTGGCTCTAACCCCTCAGCTGTGGACGGAGTAGGCAGACCCAGGGCAACGGGGCTCCATGTTGCATGATCTAGAACCACAGGTCAGACGGGGGCGGCTGGAGAAGGCAAATGAAGGGCAGAGGGCCAGTAAGGGGCCCATGGTGCTATAGCACTTAGAAGTCAAATTGAACTTGAACCTGGGCCTCTACCCCAGTGAGTATGTGTACACACGTGGGGTACACATGTGGTCACATGGGCACGTTACCTACACGTGCACTTGTGCCTGGGTGCCATGCCCACGAGTGTGCATGCTGTGTGCCCATGTGTGCGCCAGGGAGTGTGTCCACATGCATGTGTGTGTCCCTATGTGTGCACACATGTGTATGTGACAGGGACAGCCTGGAGCATCTCAACTCACCTCTCCTTTCTCCACCAAAGGCTTCACCTCGGCCAGATCCACGTCCTGTAGTTCTCGAGACATGTCCGAGTTGTCACCTGCCTGCTGGCGGGGGGAARCAGACAGGTCAGCACTTCCTGAAGGAAGCACGTCCAAGGTCAAAAGGCCAGCTAGGCCCTGCCCGGCAGCTCTCCCCACATGTCCTGGGAGAGGAACCTGGCCTCACAGACACAACTACTTTCCAATAAAGTGATTTCCTGGACTAAAATCACTTCCCCATGCAGAGTCCAGGCCCACCCACTTCCGGTGGCATTTTAGATGGAGCCTCACATTATTCCAAAGCCCCCGACTGACAACCAAAGGAAAGAAACGTCATGGGGCACAGTCATGTGCAGGGGAAACAGGCTTCGCAGACGCGCGCACCCCTCTGGGCCACCCGATGCAGGAGGAGGGAGGAGGCAAGGAGCAGGGAAAACCCCGGCCAAGGGTCTGGTGGGCCCTGAGCATGCAGTCGGATTTGGGAAGAATGAGGTCCTTCGAGGCCAGAAGCACTTTGGGGGCTGAGGCAGAGCCAGGTGGTGGAGGGGGGGCAGGGCTGTAACTCCTTGGCTCTAACTCGGGCAGGTCCCAAAGGGCCAGGAAGGAGGGCTGCAAAAGGACACCCAGAGCGCAGTTCCAGTCCAGCCTTCGATGCTGACTGATGGGCCCCTGGGAGGGTGGGACTTGGGCAGGCAGTGACATCCGAGAAGCATACTGTCTGCAGCTTCATCTGGGAGCTGGACAGACAGACATTCACTCTGTGGTCAACAGTCAAGTTGGAAAAGGCAAGTCACTGCCAATACATGGGCGCAGGGTCCTGGGGAAAGCCGGAATGTCACAGGCACTAGGGAAGGAGAAGCCAGCGACAGAAGGGGGCTGGGCCGCCCGGCTCTCAGACCCTGCACCTCCGTGGGAACAGCCTGACCCAAGCCCTCACTGCTGCATTTCCGGTGGGAGCCTGGCCCCGCTGCCCAGGCCTCTGATGCCATGTGAGCAGAGAGTGTAAGTCTCTGAAATCCCGGCCCCCGGCTCCTCTGCAGAGCCAGCTCCTGGGTCCACAGGGACATGGGAAACTCAGAGGCCAGCAACAAGAGCAGGGCCACTCGGCTTCAGGCCTAGGCCAGCACATGGCATTCCGTGGGCTGCTCCTGCTCACCTCTGGGTGCTCTGGTCCGCAGCCACAGCGTGATTGTTCCCCAGGGGATAACCACCCCCCCGGAATGCCTTTATGCGGCCTTTGGAGTATGCTCCAGAACATTCTGAAAACAAAGTCGGTTTTATGTCTGTGAGCATTCCTGGCAGCTGCCCGCTCGGAGGCAGGAGGCATGAAAAGCCAGGGTCTGTGAGCCTTGCTAACTCAGCGCGTTCAGGGTCCCGAGACCCTGGCCCGTGGGACGCCTCGCCTACACAGCCCAGAGAGCCTTCCAGAAGTTCAGGGCCCTGCCAACACCACCTCCCATGATAAAAGGGAAAGGACTGCAGGACTCACAGGGGCTTCCGAACCTCCCTGTTCGGCCCACCGTGTGCCCGGCCCACCAGGACTCGCTCCTGTAGCGTACAGGATACATTTACTTAAACCCCATTTTTCTTCTTCTATTTTTTGCACGCTAGGGATGGCGCCCAGGGGCACTCTACCATTGAACCACATCCCTAGCCCTTTGCGTTTTTTTTTTTTTTGTTTTTTTTTTTTCATTTTGAGACAGGGTCTTTCCAAGTTACCAAGGCTCATCTCAAGCTTGCAATCCTCCTGCCTCAGTCTCCTGAGTCACTGGGATTACAGGCATGTACCACCACGTCCAGCTTAAATCCTTTTTTAAGTTGCCACTAACCCCCGAGAGCAAAAGGCCTTGAAAACTCTTCTACATCTGTAAGGACTCAGCACATGCTGTGGTTCAGCCCAGTTTGGTCAGATTTCTGTGGCTTCCAGAAATTTCCATCATATTTGAATATGACATCAGCCTCCACAGCTTCCTCCTCCTCCTTCAGAATGGAAAGGAGAGCAACTTCAGCCTCTGCTTCCCAAGCACACGTGGGGAAAAGCCCTTTTACCTCTTTTGACCTGGCTTCCCACAGCACAGGAGGCAGTGGCTGGCTGACTCTTAAATACCAAGCCCTTGCCAATCTGCTCTTTGGAGCTGGAAGGGCCTCATCTGGCAGAGACCCCCAGTGTGTATCTCAGTTAGGACTGACTTGGTCCCAGGCCACCTCCAGCAATGTCTGGGGCACTTTTTGATTGTCATGACTGGGGGTTGCTACTGGTTCCTAGTGGGTAGAGGCCAGGGATGCAGCTGCCCAACCTACCATGCACACAGCAGTCTCATGACAGAGTTATTTGACCCAAAATGTCAACAGTCCCTGACTGACACCCTGGCCAAACCAAGGACTCTGATATCCACAGTGGGACTGGATAAAGCAGAAGAAATGTTGTTCTTGTATCTCAGGGACAGATACTGTGGGGCTTGTGTGCTCATAAACATAACTACCCCGGGYGGGGGTGGGGTAGAACACCTGCCAGGTTTGCCCCTCTAGGTCACTGCCCCCAGGAACAGGGCTGTGTACACCTGGGGCTCCAGCAGATGACCTCTGCCCCTTGAACTCTCCAGCTGCTGGGGTCCAGCATATGGTCAGCCTGCAGCAGGCCAAAAGAGAGCAGCTGTCCCATCTCATTCCCTGGGCTATGGCCAGTCAACACCAGCCCCTCCCGCATCTCTGATGCCCCAACCAAAGGACTTGCTAAACTTTATTTTCAGACGTTTTTGTCCAAAGGAAATGTTATAACAAAGATCAAAACCAGATTTTAAAAAAAGAGGTGCTTTGGATGCAGATGGGGACAGGGCGTGGAGCCTCCCCCGCAGCTGCCCTTCTCCCCTCCTAGGACCTGCCCACCCACCCTGCCCTGCACCTCCAGAGCTGCCCTTGCAGAGCCCCTGAGCCCCAGGAAGCCAGGCCTCAAGGCTGTAGCCTATCAGAGGTTTCCTCCTGTGTAGGGTTCTCCAGCACCTAACATGGGGCTGAGACAAAAGCAGACTTTGTTGATGGGGACCTACTGCGTGACAGGTCTGAGGATTCTGCCTTGAASAAACAGCCAGTTCCTGTCCCCACAGACCCAGTTCCTGTGCCCCTGGAAGCCCCCCTTGGGTTCACTTAGCAGGTCTGTGCACTGACCAAATGTCCCTCAGCGGCTGCGCTCTCCTGGACTGGGCAGATGCTGTCCTCACCACGGCGACCTAGGACTCAGCACTACCAACACTTGGGGCCCCAGAGTTCTTCCTGCTGGACGCTGCCCTGAGCATTCTCTGATGTGTAGCCACCATCCCTGGCCCCCCCAAACCCACCCCCAAGTCCTGACAGCTGAAGGTGCCCGTGACATGGCCAAACATCTCCAGGCGCAAATCAGACCTGGCTGGGAGGGGCTAACCTTGGCAGTGCCTGGCATGAAACGGGTATCCAGAGAAGGTCTGTCAGACACAGTTCTTATTTAATGTGGTTCCTTCCCCCGCCCCGCATGCCCCACCACATCTTTGCTGTCCCTTCACAGAGGAGGAGGCTGATCCGTGGGTCTGATGAGTGTCCTGGTCATACAGGGTCATCTGCAGGACTGGCCAGGGTGGAGCTAGCCAATGCATACTCTTGATTCTTCCCCATACTCTGCTTGTCCCTTGGGATTGGTCACCAACCAAGAGCAGAGACCACTGAAGAACTCACTTCCAGCACAAAACTCTACTTTGTGGTGCTTGATCTCCTTCCACCCAGATGCACTGGGTTGGGGCTCTGGCTGGTGTTTCTAGGCCCACTCCCCCACAGGGGCCACACTCAGTGGTCACATCCTACAGCTGACAGAGGCCACTTGGCCCAGCAAGTAACAGCAGACAGGAGGTAGGTGCTAGACTCCACCCCTGCACCTCCACAGCTCCCTGTAGAGTCCTAGCTGTTGGGATCAGAAAGGRGCCACAGTGAAGTGACCAGCAGAGACTCCACACAGCACCATGGATGGACACTGACTCCCTGCTCCCTGCTCCACCTGCACAATGACATGGAGCTGCCACCCACCTCTCCAAGGTTCTCCAAGGAGCAGACATGAGCCCTGGAGGCAGGGAATGAGGTCAGGACAGTCTCCTTCTGCTAAAACCCCACTTCAAAAACAGGGCTCAGGCCACCACGGTATCCCACAGACTGGCTGGCATCACCCTCTTCCTTCTCCACCTGCCCACTCAGAGGAATTCAGAAAACCCACATCAGAGCAGGGGTAGGCTGTTCTGAGCTAAGGGAAAGGCTGGTGGGTCAGACTTGAGCATTGCCCTTCATCGGCATGTGATCCTGACCAAGGATCTGAGACTCTCTGACTCTGTTGGCTCATCTGCAAATTGGACATTATAACTCCTGCTCCCAGGAAGCAGCAGGGGCTTAGACAATGATGCACTGAAGCTGGCACACTGCTGCTCAGTTAATCAGTGTCCTTGTCTTCCCTGGTTGCCTGAGAGTGCCTGGGTATGTATGGAGACAACCTGTGTTTTACACCGTTAGTCCCTACGGTGGCCCAGCAAAAGGGGATCACAGGGAAGATGTTTAGCAAACAGCACAGGAGTCTCCAGCCTTCATTGAACTACCACCATGTCTCTTCCTCACCAGCAACGGCCATCAACAAATGACCAAGCCCCAGAGGGCTGGGCAAATACCTCTCCATTGCACCAGACCCCAGAGACCATCAGAGATTCTCAGGAACTCATGGGTTCCAAACCAAGCCAAGACCAGGATCTGCCTAAAGACAAGCATGTGACCCCAAGGCCTGGGTCTCAGAGGTGTCTTGGGGAATCTGAGACCACTCGGGAATAGTTAACCAGTTCCTATGGGACGGAAGGGACACACCGTCTGTGATTCTCAGAAAGCCTCAGTCAATACGAGGCATGAGGGAGCACACCTGAAAGCCCAGTGACTCGGGAGGCTGACGCAGGAGGATCGCAAGTTGAAGGCTAGCCTTGGTAAGTTAGCAAGACTCTATCTCAAAAGAGAAAACAAAAAAGGCTGGGGATGTCACTCAGCAAAGGTAGACTGTCCCTGGGTTCAAT